CAGCAGGGCAGGAGGCCATGGAGCTGACACACAGTACTTGAAAAACTCATTCAACACTGAGGAAAACCAGCCAGACTATCTCATGTCTTGAACAAAGCTGACCCCTGGGAAGCTGGGTATGGTGGTGCATCCCTGTAATCCTAGCACTTGGTAGGCAGAGGCAGGAGAATTGCCATGAACTGGAGGCCAGCTTGGGCTACACAATGAGACCCTGTCTCAGAAAACTAATCCCCCCACCCACGCTCCCCAAGAAGTCTAAGACCACTGTGTGAAATAAAAGTCCATAAAGCCAAGAAAATGCCAGGAGATGTTACCTTGACCTTGAAAGGATGAAGGACTTTCTAATACAAAGAAAGCAGAAACCACACGAACAAAGGTTTAACACAGCTGCACAACTAGACTGCAGACGTTCTGTTCAATGAAGGACATCATCAACACCATCATGACAACATGACTGCTATGGTACCTCATCCAGAACACACAAGGAAATCTCTACAAGAGCAAATCTCCTGAGGCAGGAGGATCATTGTGAGTTCGAGGCCAGTCTGGGCTACAAAGTGAGTTCGACACTATCCTGAACTGCATAGTGAGACCCTGTCTCAAAAAAAAAGACAAAAAAAAAAGAGCAAATCTCCTCCCATAAGGAAAAGCAAGCAGGGCAAAGGATGTCCACAGGTAAGAAAGTAAAGCTCACACAGCTAGCAACTGCATAGACAGCTGTACTCAACACAGTAATCACAGAGGTGTTTTGTTTTGTTATTTGAGATAGGGTCTCACTATATAGTTCAGGCTGGGCTTAAACCACTATGTAGCCCAGGTTGGCCTTGAACTCATGGCAATCCTCCTGCCTCAGCCTCCCAGGTACTGGGATTACAGGTGTGCACCATCATGCCCAGCAGAGACATTGCATTTTATAAAATATAATTCTACCCATCACATTGGCAAAAACCATCAGGCACAGTAAACAGCCAAGGACAGGGAGCCCAGAAAACATGGAGGGCGGTGTGTACCAGTGCAAGGGATCTGGCAGCGCAGAGTGCAGTAATGGGAGCCAGAAGTAGCAGGTGCACCTGGGTGGGGATGAGGAGGTGCAGAATGCAGAAGTCACACGAGGGACCTGGGGACCCATCTTAAAAAGAGGCCTCCTGCTGAGCGTTGTGGCACATGCCTATCTCCCAGCATTCTGAAAGGCTGAGGGAGGAGGATCACAAGTTCAAACTCAGCCCAGGCAACTTAGTGACAAGGAGACTCCACCTCAAAATGCAATACAACACAATACAACACAATAAATGACTGGGGACATAGTTCAGGGCAAAGGTCCTAGGTTCAATCCTCATTATTAGAAGGACAAAAAAGGGAAAAGAAAAAACACCAATAGTGAGCAGAAAAGAGTAAAAATGACAACAAATATGAGGGCACTAGAGGACAATATCATTTATGAAATTTTTAAGAATCCTTACAAGGCCAGGGATGTAGCTCAGCGGTACAGCAACTACCTGGCAAGCATGAGGTCCTGAGTTCAATTCCTGATGCCAAAAAGAAAAAGAATCCTTACAAAGTCAAATACTCCATATTTTCCAAACAGACATAAACACACACATCAAATTAAACAGGGGTAAGAAGAGGGATACAGGAACAAGGGACATAGGAGCACTGAGTGTAAGGAATACAACATAGTCATCACTTACCTGCAGCCTCCTAGTCACACACACAGGCACACTCCTGCCTACCTAACACTCAAGCTCACATACACACATACACTCACTGTGCATGTGCACACACGCGTGCCAGGAAAGGATTTTGCAAAGAAACTAAGTGTGTTACAGCAGTGACTTGTTCTTCGGTTCTCAAATTTCCTCTAACGTGATTATATTATTTTTGATAGTGAAAACAAAGTTGAGCCAGTTATCCAAGCATCTCGGGAAACTGAGGCAAAAGGATGGCAACTTCAAGGCCAGCCTGGGCCACTTAAAGACCTGTTTTGAAACAAAAATCAAAGGGCTGAGTGGGGCTCAGTGCTAAAATTCTTGCTTAACCTGTGGGACATCACTAGGACCCTCCCCCTAAAAAAGGAAAGAAATGGAAGATGGCTTCAAGAGCCTCAGTTTAATCACTAGTGGCTTCCCGCCCTTTTTTTTTTCTCCTTCATGTTGACCAACATGAAATCCAGGCACCTACCTACCATAGCTGTAACTATTCCAACTTGCTTGATGACACACAAAGCCACAGTGAGCCATCTCCTCCAGGCAAAGCCCAGACCTATACAGTGAGGCCTCAGAGATGCTTCAGAAGCCAACAAGGGCAGCAGGAATGAGAAAGCCAAAGGCTGGAACCAGAAAGAATTGTGCCATCCAACAGCTGGCTGCTCTCCTGACCGTGCTCCCAGGACAAGTGGTTTGGAAAAGAAAACATGAGCATGCAGCCAAGCCCTCACCTGCTGTGCTGCCGTCCTCCCCACATCCCAGGAATGAAGACTTTTCCTCCTGGGCCTGCCACATGCCTGTCTGTACGGGTGCTGCTTCTCACTGTCCCTACACACCACACACACCTGTGGCTTCAGGCATCCCTGCCTTCTCTGGCAGCTCTGTGGCACATCTGAGCACATGGTGTTGGGAAACCTATGTCCTTTCCTGCTTGTCATAGGGTTTCATCCTGACACATCTAAATTGTGGCATTAGGGGCTGGGGATTTAGCTCAGTGGCACAGCACCTGCCTGGCAAGCACAAGGTTGTGAGTTCGATTCCCAGTACCAGAAACACCCCCCAAAAAATAATAATAATAATAATAATAAATTGTGGCATTCCATACATGTTTGGGATGCAGGTGGAGAAGCTCCTCTCAGTCAGCGTCCTGGCCTATTTCACATCTAAATGCCAACAAGCTCTGGTGGGAGACCCTGGGGAACAGAGTGGCTCCCCAGATGAACTGGCCAGAGACACCTGCAGCCACACTATACTCACTGGGTGCCAAGCACCTGCCCCAGGAACTCAGCATCAGCTCCTCCTGGTGTAAGAACATGTCACCCCTCCATCCCAAAGCCACTTTCATTGAGGTTGCCAATGGGCATCACCTCTCCTCTGAACATTCTACCTCAAGAACATCAACGTGGGCAGCAGAAAGCCAGTCAGTCCATGCTACTTATACCCCAAGGCCACTGGCCTGGCCAAACCCTTGCTAGGATGAGCTGCTTCCACCACATAATATCACTGTAAAAATTTTTCATGTCACTTTCCTTAAGAATCCTCTAGTCACTTGCTACCATCTGGGAATTTTTTTCCCCCAGTAATGGAATCCTTTCTATCAACTTTTTTTGTTGTGTTTTATAGTGCTGGGGATGGAACCAGGGCCTCAAACATGGTAGGAAAGTGTTCTACCACTGAGCCACAGCCCAGCTACATCTAAAAAATCAAACCATGAGTGGATGCTGAGCACAGCCATACATGCAGGCAGGAGAAGAGTAGCTCTGGCTGGAAGCAAAGGGCAGGGAAACGTGAAGGAGACCCACATGCTAGCCAGCGGGAGAGACACTCCAGACTGGGGTCAGAAGCTTCTGGCTCACACAGCGTGCTAAGCACAGCCTGTGGATGGAATCTGAGAAGGCCCAGCACCATCCCATGAGCCAAGGCCAAGAAGAGGAGTCCAGTACACTTCCCAAACCTGAGGCATTTTCTGGGGAAACCTGCAGTGAAGCTTTTACTCACAAAGGGCTGTTGGGGGGTCCTATCACCTCAGAGGAGCCTGAGACTGAGCAAGAGCTACACCTGAACTGAACCCAAGTGTAGGAGCTCTGAGATCTCAGCGCAGAGTCTGAGAAGCACACCAGCAGGAAAATCACAGCAGTCTCCCAGGCAAGAGTGGGGAGCCCACACCATGTCCTCCTCCTCAGGAGTTGTGTTGTGGCTGCAGCTGGCCAAGGCCAGGAGACACAGAGGAAAGGTGATAAAAGTGGATGCCAGTATGGATGGAGACCCACCAGGAGGCAGAGGAGGCCCCTTGCTCTCCAACTGCACCTGACCTGACAGCCACCCACATGGTGCAATCCAAAACACAGGCCCCTTCCATCCCTAGGGTGATGCGGGTGGATATCACCAGGACAGCAGCAGAATGAGAATCAGGGAACATATGGGACCAGGGTGACAGCCTCAGCTGCCAGAAATGCAAAAAAGTCTGCACTGGGGCTGGGGATTTAGCTCAGTGGCAAAGTGTCTGCCTGGCAAGCGCAAGGTCGTGAGTTCGGTTCCCGGTACCGGAGAAAAACCAAAAAAACCAAAAAACAACAAAAAAAAAGTCTGCACTACGATGGGTCTGCTATATCTAATAAAAAGTTCTACCTCAAAAAAGCCATCACAAGAGAAAAGGTAAGGTGGTAGATGCCCTCCCAGGTCAGCAACATTTCACAAGGGCATAGCAGACGTGGTTCTCTCCTCCCAGCTGAGTTTAACCTCAGCCAACAGACATTTCCACACCAGAGCAGTCCAGGCAAGCCCAAGTCCCCCTGCTTAGCTTTTGAATGCACATTACAGAGCTGACTACTATGCAAATTCACCACCTACTTCTGCCTCATAAAACCACTGTGCATGCCCCCCACACCTGCTGACCAGCACTAAATGCTGAAGGACTTGGCTCAGGACTAAATGCTTAACATAGGACAGTGCCCAGAGACTTTCTTAATGTCAAGCAACTGATCAAAACTGCCCAATTGAGTGGGAGGATAGACAGCAGCCATTCCAAGTCACCACAAAGGGATGGACTGGTCCTAACATCCCTCTGATGGCAAAAACATGATGGTGGTATCGTGGGCAATGCTTCTGTCAAAACCCTGCAGATGACAGGTTTGAAGGAGAGCTTCAAGACAGTGAGTATAAAACAGAACTGAACAAGTTACATCCTGTGGAGACAACAGCATGTCCCTGGCTGCCACAGCTCCAACTCACTAGGCTCAGTTTTGTCCTCAAGAAAGAGGATGCAGCCGCAAATCCAAGGCCCAGAATACTCCTTACCAGCTCTGGCTCTGGCTCCTGCTGGGGTTCCTCACCAGGCTTCAATTTCTTGGGCTTGGAGGGGCCTCCATGGCTGGAGAAGACCTTGGGTGACTTTGCTGATGGTGATGTCAGAGGCCTCAGGGACCCAGAAGGGCCCCCCAGCCGCTGTCCTCCACCAGAGAAAGGAACAAAGGGAGTAGGTGAGGGCTCCTTCACACTCTGTTTCTCCTGAGCAGCCACTGGCTTCGGGCCACCCACAAGGCCAGTCCCTGAGGTATCTGTATCCTCTGGATGGCTCAGGTCTCCCCTGCTGAGCTCCCCAGAATTCAAGGGGAGCTGAGGGCTGCTGGTAGCTTGGTTGCCTGACATGTAGAAAGTCGGGCTTCCTGGAGTCTTGCTCCTGATGGCCGCAGGTTCCTGCTTGCCAGATGGGTCACACTGCTTCATGACAAACCTGAATGGGAGACGGAAAGCCAGTGAGATGCCACAAGCAGCATTTCCCTTCTCCTGGGCCCCTTCTGAGAATACCATACAGCCTCCTCCATAACTCCATTCTACCACTGGAGGGAGGAAAGAGGGCCAGGAGGGTCCACCAGGGCAACTGCAGCCTCCATAAGCCCCCAAGACTATGGCCCCACCTGAGCTCTCACATTCTTTTTTCACTGTTTCTTTCGAGGCCTTTCTTCCCTTTTTTTTTTTCCAGTCACACTGGGAATGGAAACCAGAGCCTTCACATGCTAGGTAAAAGCTCTACTACTGTGGTAGATCCCTAACCCTTTGTAAAATTTAAAATAGGACCTCACTAAGGTGCCCAGGCTAGCCTCCAACTTGTAATCCTCATGCCTCAGCCTCCAGAGTAGCTGAGATCACAGGTATGCATCACCATACTCAGCAAGACCACATTTTTGAACTGAAGAGAACCCCAGCCAGGAGCCGCGCTACCCTACCTGATGGTGGCACTTCCCCCTATGAGGCCAAGAGACTGCAGGGTTGTGTTCCGCAGGGCGGCCCCACCTGTTACCTGCAGGAGGGCAAACAGGACACATGGACCTCTCTCCTGGACTCATGTGCCCGGGGCAAAGCCCCCACCAGGCCCTACCCAGACCCCATGCTGGCCAGGTGCCTTCTCCTGCCCACCCCTCACCTGTCCCTGCCATCCCACATGCTCAATAAAGGCCCAGCATGCATCCAGCCTATAGCTAGTGAGGAACCACTGACCACTGGTCTCCCAACCCAGCTTGGCCTCCTTGGCAGTGAACCAAGCCCACTGAGCCCAGGGAGGAAAGACTGGGGTGGGTTGAGGATGTCCTGTAATCCAGAGCCCTGCCCAAAGCTGACAGCCATGAAGGATGGTGGTGGTGGATGAGCTGATGGGCAGGAGGCTGTACACACATAGACAGCTCCTTGGCCAGCTCCCCTGGGGCAGAGGAACAGAGACAGGTCCACACCACCACTGACATTGCCCAGTTTGCTCCCTGAACACTAGGCCTATAACTACCAGCTGGGCCTCCCGAAACAGACTGTGCTGAAAGGAGGCCCTAAGTCTCTTCTGCTACCACCCCAGGTTCTCACAGGGCCATACCAGGGCCCCTCCAAGCCACCACAGCAGTAAGCAGGAGCTGGGCCTTGGGTTCCAGGCACCAGCCAGGTCCCTGGGTTAGTTTCATCATAGCTTCACAGTACTTGCCAGGCTACATGGGAGGCTACATGGGTCTGGGGACCACTGCAAAGGGGGCCCACCCTTTCTCAAGTAGACCAAGGGCTAGCAACACCTACTCTTAAAGATCCTCTGAGCCATAGGGGCCCCAAATTGTAACACCTGGCCTCCTAGGCTCTGCTGGTCCAGCTAGGGCAATGGCGTCTAGTCTGTATCCCAGTTGGCTACAGCCACAGCACCTCTACCCAGCACTGCCATAGCCACAACTGTCATCCTGGCCAGCACTACCTTGGGGACACTGCCCTTCGCTCTATCTTTCCCTCTCATAGTCATTCCTAACAGCAGCTCGGGGGAGGCCGGGCTGACCCTCCACTGAGATGCCTCCAGAAAGGACAGTCCCTTGGGGCTGGACTCTGCCACAAGCATAAACACAAGCCAGAGAGTCAGCCTAATAAGCAGTTAGCTAAGTCCCTGTAGCCCCCATGGACCATTTCCTCCTGGGAGCATGCTGGCTGGTACAGCGTCACCCTCAGGGCTCCCCCACCCTTCACAGCTCCAAGTCAGGGAGCCTTGACTGGGTATAAACAGGGAAGTCCTGTCCATACCAGGCCCTCCCAAGGCCCCTCGGGGACAGTGTCCCCCCAACCTACTTAAGGGCTCTGGGCCAGAGTGGAAACAAAAAGCTCCTGTGAGGCCAGGGGATAGAGCACTAGGAGGGTCCCTCCAGGCAGACAGGGCTGGCGAATGTAGGGCCCCCTCACTGCCAGGCTCAGCCTGCACCACCCGCCCTCAGTTTTGAAAAAGATCAAAATATGAAGCAAAGCAAATATTTATTAAAATAAAACCACTTTTGTAACTCTTGGGCTTTGAGAGAAGCTGAAAAAACAAACAAGGCACTGAGGGAGGTTTCGGGAGCAGCCTAACAGCCACAGTGGGCTCCAGCGGGGCCAGCAGCTTGCTTTTTTCCATAAAACACATCATGCTTTCAGCAGCCTGCTGCACAGCCGCCCTTTGAAGACTTGCAGCAGTGAAGTTTCCAGGTTGGAAAGTGGGCCGCCTAGTTGGGCAGGCAACTGGGGGTGGGGCAGCAGAACCTACCTCATCTCTCATGTATATGCAGGCAGGGATCACCTCGCCCAGCTGCTGCAGACGTTCCCTGCAGGAGAGAAAAGAACCATTGGGCACCTGCCCCTCAGGATAGCTAGGGAGCCCAGAACTCTGTGGAGGATCCCTCCTGTGTCCCATGACCACCAGAAGGAGGCAGCCAACAGCTATAGAGAGACAGCCATGAAAGGGCCTCAGCCACCGGTACAAGGCCTGGTGGATTCTCCACCCATCCCCAGTCTTGAGGCCCAGTCCTACAAGGGACACACAAGCATCCCTAACCCCAGCACCCTCTCAGGCAGTACACTGCCAATGGTACCATTCTCAGTCACACTCAAGTCTAGTGGCCTGCAACAGGTTCTAGGACCTGGGGGTCTGGCTACCGCCCAAAGTTGCCTCTAAGAGAGTCACCGCCCATTGAGACCACTAGGACCAGTACCAGAGTACAAGCCCATTAGGTGTACTCAAGAGCACAGGCCAGTCCCTAAGGCCATAAGCCCCACCATATGTTGACTTCTCTACCCAGACTCTGAGTGGGGATAGAGTCCAGGGCTTTTGTAGAAGGGCTACAGCCTCAGTTCCTGACCCATACAAACACTCGAAGCACAGCTGGTCACCTATGCCCAGTCCAGTGCCCCCAAGGAGCTACACTATGCCTCACTACAACTAGCCACATGACCTCAGGCCTTGATATGGAGGGTGACACAGTGGCTCCTCAAAAAGCACAACCAGACACCTGTGAGGTCAGACAGAACAGGTCAGTTCCTTAGACAAGAGGAACTGACTGCAGGCAGTGAACAAAGAACTGGCCTGGACACAGCTGGGACACGCACCACCCTGGGCCACTCTGTCACCGACATGGGCTGGGGACACAGGATAAGGAAACAGAGCAGGAAAAATCAGGAAGCACCACAGCAGGACAGACTCTTTTCTCCACTGTTCCATCAGCTGCCCCTCTTACACACTGACTGAGGACCTGGCCCATCCTCCCTTTGTCTCCACACCTGGACCTGGTTGCAGCCTATGGGCTTCGTTTGCTGGCAAGATACCCCATGTCTGTCCCTGTTACTTAGCAGCCATTGCCACTCTGCTGACTGGACAACCAGGTCAGCATGCACACATAATGACAGATGCACACACAGCGTGACTGACGTGCTGACCTGGCAAGGCTCAGGTGCTACTGCTTCCTGGCCTGGAAACATTTTTACACTGATGCCTACAGGAAACATGGGCAAGGTTATTCCTGCATTTTCAAACACACCATACAAAATTCACTTCAGAGAGCTGGGCGTGGTGGCGCACGCCTATAATCCCAGCACTCAGGAGGCTGAGGCAGGAGGATCATTGCGAGTTCGAGACCAGTCTGGGCTACAAAGTGAGCTCAAGATAAATTTGAACTGCATAGTGAGACCCTGTCTCAAAAAAAAGCAAAAAAAAAAAAAAAAAAAAAAAAAATTAACTTCAGAAATAAGTGGGGTGTACCCAGGCCAGTCCCTCTCAAAGGAAGGAAGCAAGAAGAGCTAGGCCCAGGTAGGGCTGAGCCACAGGAAGAAGTCACGACCCAGCCAGGCCTCATGGCCACCATAAACCCAAACAGAGAGACAGAGTCTGGATCAGAAAACACTGGAGCGGGACTTTTGACCAGAAGGCAGGACACAGGATTAGACGAGAAGCTGCGTGGTGCATGCTAATCTCAGCTATTTGAGAGGCTGAGGCAGGAGGACCAAAAGTTTGAGCACAAGCAGAGGTTCTTTTTTTTTTTTTTTTTTTTTGGTTTTTCTCCGGTACCGGGAACCGAACTCACGACCTTAAGCAGAGGTTCTTAACAATTTAGCAAGACCCTATCTCAGATAGATGGATGAATAAACAGAAGAAGAGAGAAGAGACAGGGAGAAAGAGAGAGAAAGGGAGAGGGAGAGGGGAGGGAGCGAAAGAGGGAGGAGGGGAGCGAGAGGGAGTGGGAGGGGAGGGAGAAGAAGAGGGAAGGGAAGAGGAAGGGGAGGAGAAGAAAGGCAGTGGGAAAAAGTTAATTCAAAAATTAGGAGGGCCGGAGATGCTCAGTGGTACAGCACCAGCATGACAAGCGCAAGGTCCTGAGGTTGACTCCCAGTACCAAAATTAATTAATTAATTAATTAAAAATTAGGAACGCCAGGTGTGGTGGTGCACACCTGTAATCCCAGCACTCAGGAGCCTGAGGCAGGAGGATTGCTATAAGTTAAGGCCAGCCTGGGCTACATAGTTCTTTATCTCAAAAAAGAAAAAAAAAAGTAGGTAAGGGCTAGGTTTAGACAGGCCTGAGAGGGCAGAAGACAGCATGCCAGTAATGTCCAGGTGTGAGTGAGCTGTCTCCAAAGAGCCTGACCCCCATGATCACACCTGAAAAGTCAAGAGAGCCACAAAGGTACATCAGCCATGGCTCCTCACCCTACAGGAGTAAGACTGCCTTTCATGAATTGGGGAAAGGCCCCAGGCAAGGAAGGCGAGCTCAGACCCAGACAGGCTCATGGCACCTTGGCAGGCCCTCATGGCATGCCCAAATCCAGTACCTGGGCCAGCTGCACAGTCCTGTCCTGTGGGGTGGGTCTGGCACATTTTCCTTCACTTCTCTTGCTCTGCTCTTTGTTTTTACTTGTGTGTGTTCCCACTGCCAGGATGCAGCCTTCCCCACCCAAGGCCCAGCACTGGCTCCTGAGGCCTCACCAGGACAGTGGAGGTATCCACATGTCCACATGACTAAGCTCAGTGCCCATATGAAGCTCACTCCCCAGAGCAGGCTTCTGGCCCTGGGGTGAGGGGTAACATCCACATGTGGAGCCAGGCAGACCTGCAAAACACCTTTCCTGAGAGTTAACACACAACAGGCTGTCATACCTACCCTTTACTAAGGGACCAGTGACTTGGCCTACCGGAGACCCCCTAGTCCTAGGGCTCAGGGACACACAAGCCCCAAAACTTCAGAGTTACAAAGGCTGGAGGTCCAGTCCAGGTCACGTGGCTGGCTCTTCCTTTTGAAGCCATGATAAAGGAGAGGCGAGAAAGTCAGTGGGGAAGACACTTGGAGGAAGGAGTGGAGCCAGGAAGAAAGATCAGGGTAAGCTGAGGGTCATGCCTGTCAAAAATGAGGTGCACAACTGACCCACCACAGGAAGGTGCGGACCTCACACAGCCAGCCAAGTCACTTGGTGTGGGATTGCCCATGGCCTTGACACCAGCTGAGCACGGCCAGTCCCTGGGGCACCATGTGATCACAAATCACAAACAGGGACATAACATAGCAGCACACCATCAAAGGGAGCCCAGCTTTGATGCACAGCTTCTCCCAAGGGGACAGCAGGTGGGGCAATTTCCCTTGTGCTGCTGAGGGAGCAGCCTGTAAACATCTCGGATTGCCACAGGCTGAGGTGGGGTGGCCAAAATCACTTCCAGACCTACGTCACTGGGCCCAGCAAACACTGGTGTCAGTCCTGAACAGATGGTCAGGAGATGTCCCCTCAACACCAGCAGAGGCTCGCTAGCCCTGCACACATTCTGAATGTCACTGACCCCGGGGATTGAGGCCCTGACACTGTACCTCAGGACACACCAAGCAGCCAAAATCAGTCCTCTGGAGTGAAAAACCAAGACTGGTGGCTCCCATGAAGCTCACCCACCCACACGAGAGATGCCTCTCTGCCATGAGGGAGGATGCTGGGCAACCCGCAAAGTCCCACTCCAAGGCCAACAAACTTCCCCTGGCCAGAGGCATGTGCTTCACCCACACAGAGCTCGGGGCACCACCCAGGGCTCAGCTCCCATGTCTGTGTTACCATGCTTGATTGAAACCACCGAACAGGCAGGCGGGTAGATGGCAGCTACCACCACCTGACCAAGCCAGGACTGGTATAAATACTAGTACTGTCAAAAAAGCCTGGCGCCACCATGCTCCCCATACAAGGACAACCCACACTGACAGCACTGGCAAAAGCCAACAGGACTTCAATTGCAAGCAGAGTGTGATTCCTAGTTTAGGAGGCCCACCAGGGTGAGGCTCCATCCTGAGAGCACCAGGTGTCTTGGCCACCACCGTATGACAGCCCAGCTCTGTGCCCCACGTCAAACTGGAAGGAACAAGGAAGCCCAGATGGCTGAGCCTGACAGTCCCAAAGAAGCAGCCACCGGTACTGTAGCCAGGACCTCTGAGGCAGGTCCTGCTGGGCACACAAGTGTACCCCAAGTGTGGCCACAGGCTGGCCCTCGGGCCCTTAGCACAGTTCCATCCTCACTGGCGCCCCCTCTCTGCAGTCCCACACACCCCAGTAACTCCAGAGATCACCTAGTCCTTGGAAAGAGGAACACTGGGTAAAGGCTGAACTTTCTCAGAGCTGGACCAGAATCAGGCTGGGAGCAGAGGGCAGGGGCCATGGGAACAGAAACCTGCCAGGGGTTGAACCACACAGGGAGCAGCTGGCACAGAGCTGCCACCTCTAAGAGGGCAAGTCCTCTCTGTAGTGAGTCCATGAATTTGACATTTACAGGAGACCCACACCATTCCCAAACTGACTTCAGTGGGGAGTATGGCAGAGCAGAACTTGAATCCCAGGATGGCTAGAGTGTAGAGCACTCTAGGTTTGTTGGCCTTGGAGTGGGACTTTGCGGGTTGCCCAGCATCCTCCCTCATGGCAGAGAGGCATCTCTCGTGTGGGTGGGTGAGCTTCATGGGAGCCACCAGTCTTGGTTTTTCACTCCAGAGGACTGATTTTGGCTGCTTGGTGTGTCCTGAGGTACAGTGTCAGGGCCTCAATCCCCGGGGTCAGTGACATTCAGAATGTGTGCAGGGCTAGCGAGCCTCTGCTGGTGTTGAGGGGACACCTCCTGACCATCTGTTCAGGACTGACAGCAGCCAGATGGTGAGTCCCTGTTACCGGCCCTCACTATCTTTGCTGGACATGAGACAAACATTCTCGTATTTGGAGTGTAACCTCTCTCAAGGCAGCTTCCAGTTCTCCCTCCCAGCTGCTCATATGGACCACTCATACCTCATCCCTACTCAGTACCTCCTGGTAGCCCCTCCCTATGGGACAGCAGGACTGGCCCCACTCACCCCATACTCCCATAGACTAAAAGAACAGCCACAGTGACATCCTGAAGCTCAAAGCAAACCAGAACTCCTCATGGGAAACCAGCCTGAGTAACATCAAAGCCCCTGGGCTGGGGATGTAGCTCAGCGGCACAAGCACCTGTCCTGGTAAGCACAAGGTCCTGAGTTCCTGGTACCAAAAAAAAAAAAAAGTGTTGCACACACCTATCATCTCAGCACCTGGGATGCTGAGGCAGGAGGACCGCCATGAGTTCGAGGCTAGTTTGGGCTACACAATGAGTTCAAGGTCAGCCTAAACTGCATAGGGAGACCCTGTCTCAAAAACAAAAAAACACCCTGGGTCCCTCTTTCTCCATACACTCCTGACCTGTGACACGTGGAGCCACATGCCCCAGAGCCTTCAAGTGACGGCATCTTTATTTCTGTCTATGCCTTGCCTAATCACCAAAGGGGCACTCCATCTTACAAGCCCGTATTAAAGCACATGGCCGGCCTGGCAGGTAGAAGCAGAGTCCCTGGAGGTCAGGGTGGCTGTACAGGTTCATCTGATAGGTGAACCATCAGGTTACAAAAACACAGGGCAGTCCAGAGCCAGCAGCCCTGAGCACTCTCCTGGTGCCTTTCTAGCAGCAAAATCCAGGAAGCAGCAGGAGAAGCATCCAGTCCTTGGGAAGGCAAATCCTCTCTGGACAGTGGCCAGCCAGAGGGAGACAAACTCCAAGTGCAAGACATATCCTGGGTTTCAAAAATCATGTACCAATGCCCATGATCTTTCTATTGATCACACACTCAAAGGATAATATTCTCAGTGTGCTAAGTTAATTAAACATATTACTGAAATTAATTACACCTGTTTTCACTTTCACTTTAATGTGGTTACTAGAAATTCTAAGTTACCTCTGTGGCCTGCAAGCGTGACTTGTGCGGTATTCCCAGTGGCCAGCACTGATTCAGACACTGGGGGTCAGGACAGGGCCATATCTATGTTCAGAAAGAAGCTGCCTTCCAAACATGTGGTGCCTCTAGGCCAGGAAACTGCCTGGTGGTCCCCAAACACACAAATTAGGATTTACCCTGACACCACACTCACCTCTGAGGGCTCCTGAGTATTCTCTATAGTCCTTGACCTTGGCACCCCCATACGCGCACCACACTCAGGCATGGCACTTAATAGTTCCTGGACCCTCCTAGCTTCCACAAGGCATCAAGGGGAAAGCCAGCTGGAAACAGAATTCTCAGAGTACAGGCTCCTCTCTCACCTCTGAGTACATCTCCATGATGCATGCTGCTCCTGGGGCATCTAACCCTTGCCATGATGCTGGAAACACACCCACCATGGGGCCTCTATTTGGCTTCTTTACAAAACATGGGACCCAGCTTCCAAGACACAGCTGGGGTCTGAACTTTCAGAAGTGAAAATTAACAATGCCCTGTCTCTTGGCAAAGCAGTTCTGCCTCTGGACTTATCCCAAGGAAGCAACTGGGGTTGGGGTGGTGGGATAAGTAGGTACCTGTCCCAGCTCTACTGTGCAGGCCACACACCGAGCTCACTGCTAACACTAACCAGGTACATAGGGTAGCATGTCCGTTCACAGAAGATAACCTGGCAGGCAGAGTAACCTGGGTCAATCTTTACTAGATTCATGACACATTTACAACCGAAAGCCAGGTACAGATCATTTCCTATTCAACACCCCTCTGTACAAACTTTCCATAAAGCTGTACAACTGTCACCTGTTGCTCAGATCCTAGGGCTGTGCACTCAGACCCCATGACCTTCCTGGGCCCCACTCCTCTCACTGGAGGGAGGACCTCATCTTCTCCTCCACTGCTCCTTCAAGTGCACCTCACAGTTACAGGACCAACCAGTCTTAAAGGTTTTATGTCAGTATCAGTGTTCCCCCTCCTCTCCCAGCACCCTCAGCCCCTCTTCAGAGGACACCCCAGGACACCTGGGGCCACAGCCTTATCTTCATTTCAATCCGAGGACTGAGCCAACTATAAAGTGCCTAGACTTGAGCATTCTGATCCTACACACAGTCTGGGGCACCACCTGGGGACAGTGTCCAGGCCTAGGCGGCATTTCCCTCAGGTCTTACACCCTTCCTGATTCATGTTTTCCATGCTTGCTTGGTTTTATGTGCACCCACATCTCCATTCTTGAAGGAACCTGGCCCTGGCACCACAGTGGAGGCCAGTGCTCCCTCTCTGGAGGCACAATAGATTCCCCAGTCAGTGTCTGTGTCACCCTGGTCTAGGAACAACTCCTTCTACCCTGACTCTTCATGACTATGGCAATGCAGAGAACTGTAGAACTGGGTCCTCCGACAAGATTTGGAAGATACAACTCTGAACCCTCAGGGGCTTTAAGCCTGCCCTTCACCTGAGAAGCTTCAGCCTCTGTGTCCCTAGGTCCTGCATTTCACAATGATACCCCTTGATAAGGGTCTGTTGACATGGTGGGGCTGGACCCATAGAGGACTCTAGCTGATGCTTGGACTGACTTCACTTACCAAGGTAGATTCTCTATCCCCAAGGGGGTTCAGCCCCACAACCTGAGCAGTGTTGACCCCAGGCTCTGCATACTCCATACATGCTCCCATGTTCTCCCAGTGCCAACCTCAATAAAGAGGAAGACAGGCTGGGCACAGGCAGGACCCCATCATCTGACCTGCAGCTAGAGCTGATAGATACACCATTTACTGAGCCACTATCTGTTCCTGCACCCCTACATGTCAAGGATCCCTTCTCATGAATGTGCCTTGCAAGCCCCAGCTCCTCTGGACTTCACCAGGTCTCTGAGGACAGTGATGCAGCCACTGTCTCTTACTGCTCAACCAGACCAGCTGCTCAAGCAGATGGCGGCTCACACTCAGCTGCCACTCATTTACATCCACAGTCTACCTGCCGGGGGGGGGGGGGGGGGGGGGGGGGGGGGGGGGTGTGGTGTGGGTGTGTGTGTGTGTGTATGTTAGTGTTAGTGTTAGTTACTGTGGACTGACCAGGGCCTTTGCACTGAGCTACATCCCTCACCTTTTTTTTTTTTTTTTAAATCTTAAGACAGGTTCTCATTAAGTTACTAATTTGCCTAACCTGGGTTAAAATTCAGGATTTTCCTGCCTCAGCCTATCATAATGCTAGAATTACAGGCATTCACTACCATGCCTAACCTCCATTTGTTTAATCTCTATGGTCCCTGAGACTGCTGATGTCAGGTCTCAAAGACCTGACCTGAGGTCTCAGCAACCTTATCCATTACCACAGCACCTGAGGCAGCTGGGCACAATCATCAGCTCAGAGTGGGCTTTTCTACAGCAAGCCCTCCCCACCTGTGGGGCTACTGTAAGCACCTTCCAATTCCCCCAAACTACCATGCCTGCTCCTGTTCTCAGTAGTCAAGACATATTAGCTCAGCTCACCTGCACACCACCCATGGTACAGATGAGGTACCAGGGGCCCAAAGAAGGCAAGCAACTCACCTATAGCCATACAGCTAACACTTCTATCCTGGTGGCTGACACCTGTAAAGCAAAGACTTCCACCCCACAATGTAAGACCCAAACTTAAAATAGCTACCATTTATTCATTCAGGAACAATGTTTGAACTATTAACCAACAAACAAGATAGCACACATCAACACCATTAAACGGACTTATTTCCATACCACAGCTTTACACCTACAGGCTCCCAGCAGAGAGGCCACCACATGGCCTTCTGTCTATTCTATCCAAGGATCCTCAAAACACAGATCCTATCTAAGAAAACACAAGCATGAAGTGACGCACTTAGCACCCCATCTCCCCTTTGCTGAACACCCAGCCCTCAGGGACTTTTTGTCTCCACAAGGATGGCAGCCTGTCCTTGCTCTGCTTGGCAGGCTGGCCAGGGCCATCGACCTAGAACCTCAAGAAGACGAGCCACTGGCTGACCCACACCCACTGGGTGCTGACTGGTGAGCAGGTCTCAAATCAGTCCTCTCTATCCAGACCACATGGCCAGAAGCAGTGTCAGACCAATCAGGGAGCCATGACAGCACCTCTGCTGACAGGGGTAGGAATAAGTCCAGTACCTACCCACTGATGCTCACCTGGTCTGTGCAAAATGGATGAGGATCTCCCAAAGGGTCTGACCCGAACAGAAAGTGTCCTGCAACCGGGAGCCGTCATCCAGCTGCAAAGCCACCCGAACCTGGAGGGCAGGATGCAAGAACCTTGTTAGGAAGAAAAGCAGCCATCCTGTGCCACAGTCCCAGCATACACGCCTCCTAGGGGTCCCCTTGGAGACCCACTAGGAGGCCCCTGGTAGGTTACACAAACACGTGCATGGCATGCACAACTGCGTGCAGGTGACAAGGGTGGCAGCCACCACAGAAGCACTCTCCAGCCCAGCAGCAAGCCTTTGAGGCCACATCTCAGCCAGCACGGCCCCACCAGAAGCTCTGAGCAGAGCTGCTTCCTGATCCAGTCCCTTAAGCCCCGTGAGACCAAATTTGGTGCTGTGTTACCAGGTTTGGGATAATCTATTACCAGCAAAGTTTTTCTCAAAACTTTTCTTAACTACTCTTATAAATCTACTTTTAATACCTTTGTTCCCTATCAAGAGAGGCTATAATCCAAAAGATTTCTGGAAAAGTCCCTTCTGGTCCATCTGCCAAATGACAGACACACTAAAATACAGAGCCTGGCTGTAAACGTAAGTACAGTGTCCTTACCTGTGAGAACCTCCATCTAGCCATGGCTCAGACCTATAATCACAGCTGTCCAGGAGGCTGAGACAGTATCATGATTTCTAACCTAGTCTGGGCAACTTAGTGACTTAGTGAGGACCTGTCCCAAATTAAAAATAAGGGCTGAGGTATATAGCTCAGCATGAAGGTCCTGGGTTCAAGCCCCAGTAAGCACAAAATAGCATGAGAGTGAGAGAAGCACTGAACACTACCATGAGACCATACACCACAGTGTAATGAACAATTCTCAGAGTAATTCTGCTGTTTTAACCGCAGGATTCTTTCTTAAAGTGCATTTACATTAAGTCTCAATGACACAGAGGAACAGGTGCTCTGTGTGACAGGTGCCAGAGCTTTTCGATCCCATGCACCTTCCAGGGATCCCCCAAGGAAGCAGAGTTCATTCCACAAAGCAGATGAAAACTGCAGCAGTAATGCAAAAAGACCAATGTTAAGGTTGGTCTCAGCCACCTGACCCCTGGTTTGGTGGCCTAGTGGTGGCTTTAGAAAGCAACAGAGGGCCAGAAATATAGCTCAGGGGCACAAGAACCTGCCCGGCAAGCACAAGGTCCTGAGTTCAATTTCCAGTACCAAAAAACAAACAAAAAAACAAAAAAACTGAAGAAAGCAACAAATAGAGCTGGGCATGGTGGTGCACACCTGTAATCCCAGCACTAAGGAGGCTGAGGCAGGAGAAGCACAGCCTGGGCTACATAGTGAGGTCAAAGCCAGCCTGAACTACAAAAAGAGACCCTGTCTCAAAAGAAAGAAAGAGACGGACGGACCTGGGCCGAGCCTCCTGAGCTGACAAGAATAAAAAAACACCTTACAGCAGCAAAGGGGAAATACAACATCACATGAGTCAAGGACCTAGCAGCAACACAGTAAAGAGGGCAACAATGGCCACAGCTGCCATTTTCACCTGTGACAACTTAGCTGATCTTCCTAACGCTTCTAGAAGTTCATGATGTGACCTGGGAAGGAGCTATACAAGCAGGCAGTGACATAGGTAGGTCAAACGAGCCCTGCCACAGAAGCCTGGCAAGGCCTGGGCCTCTTGTAAGCTGGTTGCTGACTGGCTCCATACAGTTTTTTTGGGTTTCACATATCAGGCTGGTAGGCGAATGCTGCTGACAAAGTGGACAAATGCACACCATTAACTCCACCAATAATCACAGTACCCAGGCATGATGGTGCACACCTGTGATCCCAGCATTGAGGAGGTTGAGGCAGGAAGATTGCCATGAGTTTGAGATCAGCCTGAGGTATATAAGCGAGTTCAAAGCCAGCCTGCACTACACAGTGAGACCCTATCTCAAAAACAAACAAAAACAGTAATGTGCATGAACACTGAAAACTCTCATTTCTAGTCATTAGGTATTTGAGAAGAACATGTGGTTCTGGTCAGGAAGGGAGAGTGGACCACAGGACTGTCCCAACCCTCTCTAGGCCCATGTCCCCCGCCCCCTCAACTTGGCACACTGCAGAACTATCCTGTGCTCTGGTGAACTGAAAGGAGGCCAGAAAAGGAGGCCTGTGGACTCACAGCCAGCCACCTACCATGTTCTCAGGCTTCTCGCGGCTCCGGGACACTGGCACCATCTCTAGCTTGGCGTTGTTGGGCAGGTTGGCGAATCTCCACTGGAGAGAGAGGTCAAGCACCGTCCTCTGAAACCTGCAGAACAGAACACAGCCACATGGTACCCAGCCAGCCCAACTCCTCCCAACCCCCTCTAAGCCATAGGGCAGTTTGCCCACCTCTTATGGCTGCAAGAGCAGAATTATGACCTGCAGAGACAAGAGGCAGGTTCCTGATCTCAGCAGCTTTTGAAGAGAAAAGAGAAGTACAGCACTGACTCAGTGTCCAGCCTAGGCAGCAGAGAAAGGAGCAGGACAGCAACATGAGTCTCTAGGCAAGCCAAGCATAATGCTTGTAGACACTGAAACAGAGGCAAGGCCAAAAGCAGACCCTCAAAACATACATACACACAGACCAAAGGCTGAGGAGAGTTCTCAAAAACAACCCTGCTCTGCTCTGCTGCTGTAAGCACTCTCTAACAGGCAAGAGACACCAGCTAAAGTGGCCAGTCTCATCTCCTGCCATCCCTCTCTATGCCCCAAGACTAGGTGGGGCCCAAAAAAGATTCATCAGTGTCCTAACCCTCAGAACCTGTGAATGTGACCTTATTTGCTATACAGGTCTTTTACATTCTTTGCAATTAACAATGTGAAATGAAGCTGGGCATGGCTCCGGAGGCTGAGGCAGGAGGATCACCACAAGTTCGAGGCCAGCCTGGGCTACACAGTGAGTTCAAGGACAACCTAGACTTAGTGGGACTCTGTCTCAAAAAAATGAAACAAGCTGCATGTGCTGTAATCCCAGCACTTGGAAGGCTGAAGCAGGAGGATCGCTGTGAGTTTGAGGCCAGCCTGGGCTTCATAGTGAGTTCAAAGCCAGCCTAAACTACACAGTGAGACCCTGTCTCAAAAAACAAAAACGAACAAGAATGTTGAGAGAGACCATCCTGAATTACCCAACGGATCTTAATCCAGTGACGACTGTCCTCCTAAGACAGTGATGGCAAACCTTTCAGAGCTTTCAATGATACAAAGAACCCGCTGCAGCACCTGTGCCACAGGTTTACCACCTCTCCTAAGACAAAGAAGCCATCTGAGGGCAGAGGCAGAGACTGGAGCAACACAGCTACAAGCCAAGGAACAACTGGGCCCACAAAAGTTCCAAGAGGATGAAGAAGGGCTTTCCCTGAGGCCATTCAGAATACAGCCTTAAAACCGGAACAATACAGAGGAGACTAGCATGGCTCTTGCACAAAGATGACACAAAATGAGAAAAGGAGCAAGAGCTAGAAAAAGGCCAGGAGTGGTGGCGCACACCTGTAATCCCAGCACTTGGGAATCTAAGGCAGGTGGATCATCACGAGTTCAAGACCAGCCTGGGCTACAAAGTGAGCTCAAGGCCAGCCTGAACTTGTAGGGAGACCCTGTCTCAAAAAGACAATAAATAAATAAATAAAGACTATAAGAGATGGAGAGAGGCAGAAGGGAGAGTAGGGAAAGGGGATGAAAACATAATTGAGATGTGTCAAATCCATACATCAACTCCACACAAGGAATGTAATCATTATTTAATGTAAACATGTATTAATAAAATAAAAACTGGAGGAAAAGAAAGAATACTACCCTGTCAATACCTTGATTTTGTTTTGGGAGAGGGCGTTTGAGACAGAATCTCCCTATGTAGCTCAGGCTGGCCTCAAACTCTAGCCCCCTAAAGTGCTGGGGTTACAAGCATGCATCACTATGGTCCACTGGCACCTTGATTTTGGACTTCTGGCCTCCAGAACTGTTGTTTAAGTAGGCTCTTCCAAGCCACAGTACATTTAGAAGTGATGGAAGCAGTCTGGGGCCCCACTGCCAAGCCCAAACTCACTTGAGGTCGTATTCACTGGGGTTGAAGTCCTGCCGCCGGCATGTGTCCTCCAGAACCTGAAAAACAAGAGGACAGTGACCCCCGTGTGTGGCCAGGGCACTTACTCTGGACGCCAGAGGCCTGTCAAGGGTGAGCTGGCTGGTTGGTTGGTGCCCAAGCAAAACTCTGTACAAGTCCACTCAAAGTGTAGTGCAATCAACAGCTCTCGGCAACAGACCTGCAAATCCTGTCTATTCTCTCTTCCTAAGAGGACACACATGTCCTGCCTTATCACCTAGTTCTACAGCCACAGACTGTCCATGCCTGGTCCCACGTTCTGGGCTCTTAAGGGCCTCCTTCTATAGGCATTTTCCTACCACATGCCCTAGGATTCCCCTACACACACACACACACACACACACACACACACACGCAGGGACTAAAACTCAAAACTCAAATCCACCCGCCCAAGATATCCTGTAGCCTGGCAACCTCAGTGCACCAGCTCCCTCTGCCCGGAAGCCTTGCCCCTCCTCCCCGAAGGCCAAGCTCCCCTCTCAGCCAACCCAAATGGAATGGGTCCTTTCAGGGGGTCCTGCCAAATCTGCCGAGCTTCCATTTTTGAACTGTGCACACCCGACTCGGTAAGCTCCTATCACAGACACGGGTGGTGTGTCCCTTGGCATCCTCACTGCATCCCGCAGCAGGGGGTCAATAAACACTTTAAAATGTAATTCATTCCAGGTCACAAGCTGGGCTCAGCAAAAGCACAGCGAGTGACTAGGCAAAATCCGCTTCCGGCCACGACGCCGGCTGGTTGGGGTCCGGGCCGACTTCAGGGGCGGGATGGAAGCGCTGGGTTCGGCCAGGCGTCGAGGACTGGCACGGGGGCGAAGGGGGGGGGGTGCGGATAGCATCCGCGCAGGGCCACACGTGGTGCTGCGGTCTGGCTGCCAGGGGTCGCCAGCCCCTGCCCCACCCCCGGGACCCGGGGGCCGCGCGGAGGAGGCGGGCCTGCGCGTGTTGCTCCTTGGCCGACGCCCCGCCCCATATCCCTGGAGCAACCGCAGGGGGTCTGGCCGGCGACTCCCCCCTCAGCCCTCCACCCCGAGCTGGCGGCCGCACCTGTAGTAACACGGTGCTCGGCGTCACTTTCACCGTGTAGCGCCGCCCGTTCGGGGCCAGCACTGACACCGCGGAGCCCCCGCCGCCCGCCGGGGCCGCCATGTTCCGCTTACGTGACCCGGGGCCGGCACGCCTTCACACAACTTTATCAACAACCGCCGCAGCGCACAGCCACGCGACCAGGGGGGCCCGCTAGCGCTTCCGGGTGCTCGAGGGCCCGCCCCTGGCCCCGCCCCGCCGCTGAGGCTCCGCCCTGGCGGGGGGCCTTAAAACTACGACTCTGGCTCTGAACTGTGGCCCGGGTCTCTCCCCAGAAAGGCCGTCAGCGGCCCGGGGGGGCGGGGCTAGGTCTCACCCAACCGGTGCTATGGGGCCCGCAGGCTTCAGACCGGCCGTGCACACTTGCGAGTTGGTGGCCAGCGTGGGTCCTGCGAAAGCCGTGTAGCCACCGCGGCTCAGACCTGAGCTGTCCTTGGTCCCTGCTCTCACACCACCCTTCTGTCCTCTGCCACTGCAACACCTGAACCTAGCCTCTGACCACCTGTCCCTGCGGTCACCATCTACCCACAAAGCTACCCACTGCCCAGGCACCTGGCCCATTCTTGGCCTCTCCTCCTTCAGGGCTGAAGGGCGGATGAAATGCCTGTGTTCCCAGGGTGTTGTGAAGACCTGGGTAAACCTGTGTGGAGGGAAAGGCAAAGAGCACTTGAATGGGTCACAGTCCAGCTACAGCCAGAGTGCCTGGAGGACTTCCCCTGGCCAAGCCCCATGCTGACTGGGGGCCCTCAGAGGACCCAGGACAGCCCCAGGCCTCAAAGCCATCCAGGCTGCAAGGGGCTAGCTCCAATCTTGTGAAAGGAGCTGTGATTGCTGGCTGTCCAGCCACTAAGGCTGCGTGGCCTCAGCACTTGGGCCACTCGTGCCAGGTCTCCCTCACTGGACTTTGCTAAATTCTTCTTTTTAACTATTTATTTATTTATTTTGGTACCAGGAATTAACTTTATATTTTTTATTAGTACATGTTTGTCATACATGTTGATCACATTCATCATAGGGAATTTGTACCTGTACATAACATACCTTGTGGGGCTGGGGATTTAGCTCAGTGGCAAAGCGCCTGCCTGGCAAGCGCAAGGTCGATTGCTGGTACTGGAAGAAAAACGAAAAACAAAAACAAAACAAACAAACAAACAAACAAAAATAACATACCTTGACTTTCTTTTTTTAAAATTCGCCTCCTCTCCCTTCAACCCTTTTTCCCCTCCCCATTTGCAAAAGCTTTGTTTCCATTTTTTCCTTCTATTCTTTTTTTTTCCTTTTCCCTGTCTTCCCTTCCTCCTCCCCTTCTCTTGTTCCCCTTCCCATTTGAACATGTTCTTCCTACTTCCCAAGCCCAATATCTATCTTCTGTTATGCTCCTCCTTTACCCTTTGGGTGTCTCACACAGGAGATACTGCAATATTTAAGCTTGTCTGATTTATTTCATTTAAGATAATAATCTCGAGGTGCCTCCGTTGTCTTACCATGACTCAAGTTTATCCTTCTTTATGGAGCATATATATATTACATTTTATTTATCTGTTCACCTGTTGATGAGCATATGGGCTATTTCCAAGATTTAGCTATTATTATAAATTGTGCTGCTAGCTGGGCATGACGGCGCATGAGGCAGGAGGATCTCAGGATCATGGGTTTGAGGCCCATTATTGCTTCTCAAACTAACCCATGAGTTTGAGAACAGTCTGAGCTATACATATTGACTTCAAGGACAGCCTGAACTACATGGTGAGACCCTGTCTCAAAAAAAAAAAAAAAAAACTGTGCTGCTACATGGACTTGGCTAAATTCTGAATGAATCTTGGCTCCCACTCTGCCCCACTTGGCTTCCTGGCCCTGGCCTTTCCATGTGTCCAACTGCCTGACTGGCTCCTTGTGCTCCCGTGCACTCCTGGCCAGGGCTCAGGTCCACAGTAGAGTCTGGAGGACTGTGCAGTCATCAGTTGTTATTTATCCTAGTGACACCTCCTCTGTGTGTGTACAGTCCCATATTCAAACCTACAACATGTCCATGTCACACATATCTGTATGCTGACAAACACTTGATACCTCCACGTACATGGGAGAAATGGGAAAGCTTTCAGGTGGCCTCAGCCCCAGGGACACTGCTCTTGTTTCCAGGCTGCTGTTCACACTGTGCAACCTCAGAGCCTCACTGAGCTCTACACGGTGCCCGGTCACCATCAGTGGGTTTGTTTTAGTTTTTCAAGACTGTGGCATTTTCCAAGAGTCTGGGCCTCTTTTCTTTCGACTAACCCATGATCCAGATCCTCCAGTTGAACATTTAGGGCAGTAAGGTGGCTTGGGTGGCAGGCTATCAGGAAATCGAGGTCACCAGTTTCCGCCAAGAGTAAGGACATGACAACGTTTGATCACTTGGTTAGGTTGGGATCAGCCAGAGTCCTCCAAAGTCAAGATGAGCTGTTCCTTGTGAAGTAAGTAAGCCAGCTGTGGAGTAATTCTCTGAGACCACAAATAGCATGTTTTCCCCCAACCATCTACCCAACAGTTTTAGCGTCAATTGACAAACGAATTTATTATTACTGAATCTCAATTTTACAAGTTTATCATGCCTTTTTTTTGGGGGGTGCTGTGCTGGGGGATTGAACCCAGGGCCTCAAATGCAAGTGCTCTGCCACTAAGCCACATCTCCAGCCCCTCATTGTTGCTTCTGATTTGTCCAAACTTAGCCAGTGAGACCTCTTCCATGCTGCTTCTTATGGTACTTTTGTTTTGTTGTTTTCTTGGTGGAAGAATGACTTCTTATTTTTATATTATTGTATTTTAAACTTGTTAGGGCCTGGGAATGCAATTCAATGGTTGAACACTTGCTAGGGCCCTGGGTTTTATCCCCAGAACCACAGAAGGAAAAGAAGAAGGTAGAGGGGGAGAGAAGGAAGAGAGGGAAGAGGAAAAAAGAGAAAAGTTGCAAGAACAGTACAAGAAACTCCTCAAAACTGAGCATGGTGGAGCACATATGTACTCCCAGCACTCAGGAGGCTAAGCCAGGAGGATTGTTGCAAATTCAAGGTCTACCTGGGATATATAGTGATTTTACGGCCAGCCTGGATTGTACAGCAAGACCCTGTCTCAAAAAACAAAAACAAGCAAACAAACATAACAAAGAAAAAGAAACTCCTGTGTACCTTCTAGCCAGACTAATCAGTTGTTTGTGTTTCCCTGTTTGCCTTATATTCTTCATTTACATACAAAACATTTCTGTTTGAAAATAAATTGGAGACATTATGCTCCTTTGCAAATGAATACTTTCATGTGTATTTCCTAGGAATAAGGTGATATAAACAACATCTTGTTACACAAAATTGAAAAATCTAACATCAGTATCATCACAACTAACCCACAGCTAATGTCACAATGATATCTTTCCTATGTCCTCATTTACTTTTCTTTTTTAACCTTTTCTCTCTCTCTCTTTCTTTCTTCTTATGCACTGAACAGTGAACTGTTTATGCCCTATGTTGCTTTCAAATTGAGCTACACCTCCAGACCCTCCTTCCCCTTTATTTTGGAGACATGATCTCACTAAATCACTAAGTTGCACAAGCTGGGCTCGAACTTGCAATCATCCTGCAACCTCCCATACTGCTGGGATTATAGGCATGTGCTTGGTTTGCTATTGCATTTTAATTGTTTAACATATTTATTTAATTCAAAAGTATAAGCCGGGCATGGTGGTGCATACCTATAATCTCAGGACTTGGGAGGCTGAGGCAGGAGGATCATTGCAAGTTCGAGACCATCCTGGGCTGCAAAGTGAGCTCAAGGCCAGCCTGAACTGCATAGTAAGACCCTGTCTCAAAAAGACCAAAAAAAAAAAAAGTTATAAGTATAAAATGAGCTGTGGCCTGACTCATCCCCCCACCCCCACAGGAAGCCAACTTCATCTGTCTCTGGTGGAGTCTGTGTTTATCTTTGCAAAGATGAGCACGTGCATGAATGAGGACTCAGTGAGGACACAGCAGCAGATTCTTCTTCAGACCCAACAGGTGACAGAGGAAATATCCTCTATGCTGTCTTCACTACAGTCCTCTATAGTTAGATTAATCAAGAGCAGAACACACTTCCTCTTCGATGTCACTTAGACTGCTGCAGCATCCAGGCAGCCTAAGAAAATGGCTGAGGCAGAAAGGCCAGGCCCCTGCCTGGACTAGAAAACACTTTGCTACCTACCTGCTCTGGCCTGAGTATAGAGCAGACCCTGCCTGGGAATAGCCACAACAGTGACCTCACAGAGCAGCCATAGAGCTCATTGTGGGGAGTAAGTCCCAGTGGGCTGTGGGAAGCCCTGCGTCCCACCAGGAAAAGAGGTTGCATAGAATCAGCCTGGGGCTGGCCTGGAGCTTCTACCAGCCCTGCTGAATTGCTAGCACAGGGGCTGTTTTCTGTTGGGTTCTTGCACTTTCTCTTCCCCTTGATGTGTCAGAGAGCTCCTTGGGCAGCTGCTGTCCAGCCTTTCTCTGCTGAGGATACGCCCTGCCAAGTGTGGCTGCTGTCTATGCCCTGTGTTGCTGTGCAAGACAGGGAACCTACTGATATACAGATTAATAAGTGTCCAGATACAGGAAGGTAAGACTCTCAACTCATACTAAAATGTTGAAGGGAAACCACAGTACAGTATTTTTTTTATTATTATTATTAAATGAATGTAGCGTCACTGGGTGTGATGGTACACATCTGTAATTCCTGAGAGGCTGAGGCAGGACGATCTTGTGTTTAAGTTCAGTCTGGGCAACTTAGCAATTTATTGAGACTGTCTCAAAAGAAAAAAGATTGCAGATATAGCTCAGTGTGAAGGCCTTGAGCTCAATCCTCAGTGTAACAAATATAAAGGTCTGGGGGTATATTTCAGTGGTTGAGAAAGCACTATGGGTTTAATCTCAGTTTCCAGTACCCCGTTCCAAAGAATCTAGTGTCCAAGTTGCCACTGCCACCCCACCTCCTCTGGGACCCCTGTAGAGGCTCTGTCCCCTCTTCTGAGAAATTTGGCCACCATCTGCCCTCTGTGTTTAACTAGATTCTGAGGTACAAATGCAGCACCTTGGGGAAGACAGGATACCCCCTAGCCACCACCTTTCTGCTCCTCCTCACTGCCAGTGTTCTCTCTCCTGAGGGAGCTAGACAGCTGCTCCCAGGATCTGCTTTGAATTAAAAGTGGCATGGCCCTTTAAGAGAAGCATCTGCCGCCCCCGCAACCCCCTTTGATGTCGCCGGCGCGCTGAAAGGTTCCCAGTGGAGAGATCTGAGGGCTTGTTTCTGCCTCCCCAGAGGCCACGTGCGGATCACAGGGTGGGACTGAGGGCCAGCAGAAGGTCACATGGCCGGCTGGTCTCCCTGGGCTGTAGCCTTCTCCCTCCCTGGGGACAGCAGCTGGACAGATGGCTGCAGCTCCTTGGGGCCTTAGGGCTGAACTGAGCAGCCAGGACTAAGGAGCAGCCTCTCTGCCCTCCCCTGATGGTCAGCGCCTGACATTCCTGAGCACTGGAGCCTCACCTGCCCAGTAAGGACAGGGAACACTTGCTGGGCACCTTGTGGTCACTCCCAAGGTGCCCCAAGAACCCTCATTGCCACAGATGGGAAGGGTCCCTCCCATGCCCACAACCCCTCTTGTCCATCCCTGGGGACCCTGACCCTCCCTATTTGTCCATCCCTGGGGACGCTGACCCTGCCACAGGTCAGGCAGTCTCCACCTGGCTGTACAGGGAAGTGGGACAGGACTGGGCTCATTTGCAGGGGTTCTGTGTGCAAGGCCAGAGGGGGAGACAGGGATCTGCCAAGGCCCTCAGAGCTCACGAGCTGAAGCTAAAAGGTCAAAACTGGTCTATAACTCACCATCTGGGCAGTGGAGTTGCAGGTACTCACCTCCTCCCTACTTCCCCTAAGAGGGAAGAGGTTCTGACTCCTAGGCAGATGGGTGTGGGCCTTCCTGCCAGGTGACAGAGCTGCCTACATCAGGCCTGCAAAGGCCCACTAGATTCCCAAGAGCCTGAGCTGGAGGACTACGGAGAGGGAAGCCCCCAGTATCAGGCCAAGGAGTGGCAGTCCTTGATAGGTAGGCCTGACCCAGGACTCTGTTCCCCTCTCCTCTCTGAAGGCCTGGGCCAAGATAGCCATGGTGACTCCACCCCAACCCTTCCCTTCCTATCAGATAGCCATTGATTCAGGGCTATTAGGGCAAGCAGGGGATCCTGCTGATGAATGAGTGGGGGAATATAGCAAAAAGGGCTTTGGGGGCCAGGGATATCACTCAGTGGCACAAGCCCCTGCCTGGCAAGTGCAAGGTCGTGAGTTCAATTCCCAGTACCAAAAAAAAAAAGGGCTTTGGGGCTCAAACTGCAATGGGATTGCCTGGCCTTGAGCCTCCCCGCCCAGGCTCAGACTGGAGGTGGGCTCTCAGCCTACTGGGACCAGGGGGCCCCCTTGGACCAGATCGTGAGGAAAGGGGTGGCTTGCCCAGTTTTCCTGACCACTTGGGCCTCAGATACCAGCAGAGACCAGCAGCTGGGGTGCATAACTGCCCAGGTGGCCATGTGGGGCAGTGTAGCTGAGGCCAACATGCAACAGCTGTGGCCCACATGGCAGGCTGCAACTGGACTGTGGTGCAGAGCTCAAGGTGGCGCATCGGGGGAGCAGGCCCACATTTGGATAGGGAACTGGGTCCAGGGTTACTCTACATCCTGATCCCTGGGTGGCCCAGTCTCTGGCCAGGCCCTCGATCTATGGAACCCCACAGAGAATCTCAGGTGGGACCTATGAGCTACTGTCAGCTCTCTGTCACATCTTCCTCCTTCCTGCTGCCACCCTAACATGGGCCCTAGCTCTTGTTTCCTAAGATGTTCCATCTTGACTCCTCTTTCTAGGAATTAAGCTTCTGCGCACTAACTCGAGACTCACAACTCCTATCAGTTAACTCTGTGCTTCCCTGGCCCCTCATCCTTCTCCCCACTGCGGAAGGCAGTGAACCACACCATTCATCCCTATTCTATATTTGAGGTGCTGCTCTGAAGCTCAGAATCCCCTTGGGGCTCTCATTTTCCCAGCCCCCTTGGAGGAGGGTGGGCACAGGCTCTAACCTCAGGCAGAAGGACCTGGCACCTACCCAAACAGGAGCCAGCCAGCCCAGAGGCAGGACTAGAGTCCACCCCCACCATGGCAGAGGGTAGGAAGGGTTGCTGAAAGGCACCTCCTATGCCCAGTGTCTGAGTTGTACCATTTACAAGGGTATGTGAGGGGCCACTGCAGAGAGGTAATTTGGAACATTCTCCCTAAACCTCACAAGTAACCCTACAGGTTTCCTGCACTGGGAATCTTGGACAGCCTTGGTCCCTGAGGTGTCACTGCACCCACCATGGCAGGGGGGCCATAATTCTCAAATGTCGCATATTCATTACCTGTGTAACGAAGCCTCCCATATCCTGCCTCACCTGGAGTTTACAATGACCCAGTGAGGCAGGTGCTCTTCTTGTTCCCACTTTACAGATGAGGAACTGAGTCTCAGAGCCCCATCACAGTAGATCCATGCCCCAAATACAGAAACCCATGTGTTGGCCACATTGCTCCATTCCTGACCATTCAAGGGACAGTGCCAAGATGACCAGCCTATTGACTGTCCCCAGTCAAGTCCACTTACCTGGCCTCAAACTTCATTCTAGCTGCCTGGTCCATCCCCGGGCCTTGTCTACTGAGCATCAGCAGTCTAACTCAGTGGGTTTTTTTCAGTTGTTGTTTTGGGTTTTCTGATTCAGGGTCTTGCTGTGCAGTTTAGGCTGGCCTTGAACTCACTGTGTAGCTCAGGCTGCCCTTGAACTTGTGGCCATCCTCCCTCACCCTCCTGACTGCTGGAATTACCGATGTGCATCACCACATTGAGCTCATTTGGCTTTATAAAGTACAACTTGCATAACACAGAACTAACTTCATTAAAGTATATAATTCGGGGCTGGGGATATAGCTCAGTGGCATAAGCGCCTGCCTGGCAAGCACAAGGTTGTGAGTTTGATCCCCGGTACCTCAAAAAAAAAAGTGTATAATTCAGTCCGGCATGGTGCCACATGCTTGTAGTCCCAGCACTTGGGAGGCTGAGGCAGGAGAATCACCACAAGTACAAGGCAAGCATGTGCTACACAATGAGTTCAAGGCCAATCTAACCTACATGGCAAGACTGTCTCACAAAAACAAAAATCAAATAAAATTTAAAAAATAAAAAAAAATAAAGTGTCACTGGGGATATACTCAGGGGCACAAGTGCCTGTCTGGCAAGTGCAACGTCCTGAGTTTGATTCCCGGTACCAAAGAAAAGAAAAGAAAAGAAAAGAAAGAGACAAAATTTAAGCTCAGTGGCTTAAGTGCCTGTCTGGCGGGAGTAAGGTCATGAGTTTGATTCCCGGTACCAAAAAATAATAATAATTTTTAAAAAGTGTAGAATTTCAGGACATTTAGTAAGTACACTTACAGTGTTGTTCTACTGTCACCACAATCACTTTTAGAACATTTGCTTCAACCCAAAACTCAACCCCAGACCTGTCAGTAGTCTCACTTCTTCCTCCCTGTCCCTTGTCAACCAATGTAGTTGCTGTCTCTGTGGCTTGGGCTCTTTTGGATTTTTCTTATCAGTGAAATCATACACTATGTGCTTTTGGTGACAGGTTGTTGCACTGAGTATAGTGTTTTTAAGGTGTTGCAGCATGTGTCAAAATGTCTTTCTCCTCACTTCTGAAATAAACCCCCTGTAGAGACATACCACATTTTGTTTAGCCATTTTGTTGATGGGCTTTTGAGTTGTTTCCCCTTTTTGGCGCTTATGAATAGTGCTTCTGGAACACTCATGTACAAGCTTTTGTTTGAACACCTGTTTTCAATTCTTTCAGGTCTATACCTAAGAATGGAATTGCTAGGCCAGATGATAATGTTGCATTTGACTTCTCGAGGGGCCCCAAATTGTCTTTCCCAGCAGCTGCACAATTTTACCCTCCTACTAGCAGTGCACAAGGGTTGTGATTCTTCCATATCCTCGCCAGCACTGGTTATTTTCCATATTTTTGCTCACAGACATCCAACTGTGTGCTGCGTGGTCTGATCAGGCACTGATGAATCCTGAGTCCTGCTTCTGTACATGTGTCAGGGCCACAGTGGCATCTGGCCTCGATGTAGGTGGTCTGAAAGCAGAGGCCCAGCTCCCAGGTGGCTTGAAGAACCCACCTCTGAGAAGAGCCCTGGAAACTGTGTACGGCAACTCCAGTGCACAGGACAGAGCTGGACTTGGAGGTGGACAGAGTCAGTATGTCTGAGGCTGGAGGAGAACAGGATTTTGCACAGCCTCAGAGCCTTGGGAACCCTATCCCTGGCCCTGGGGTGGGGAGGAGGGTGTTGCAGCCCTGACAGCCATGGGGTCCTGGCAAGGGGGAGGGGGATGTGGAAGACAGACTGAGAGAGCAGAGGAGTTCTGGGAAGGTTGGGCTCAAGCCCCCTCTTTGCTTCTGCTACTAGTTTGGAATAAACCAAAACACAAATGCATTGTGATGGGGCTGGGGATTTAGCTCAGCAGCACAGCACCTGCCTGGCAAGCGAGAGGTTGTGAGTTCGATTCCCGGTACCGGAAAAACAAACAAACAAACAAAAACCAAATGCATTGTGATTTAATGTGCAGACTAAATTGCGCTACAGCAAACATCAGAGTGTATAATAGGTATGTTCTCTTCTTCTGGGACCTCATCCGCAATCATAACCACCACCCTGCTGTGCACTTTCACAAATGGGCTCCTGTAATCCCACAACAACCATCTGAAGGAGATACAGTTTTTGCCCGTTTTGAAAAAACACAGAGGTCGCAGACTTTGCCCAGGAACTTCCTGCCAGGAAATGGCTCAGAGCCAGGTCAGTGTGCAGCACAGGCCAGCACCCAGCCATGACACCCAGCTGGAAGTTAGCATTTCTCCACCAGGACTTGGAACAGCAGGCTCTTAGAACAGAAGGCTCCTGGGGCAGGTTGTTGTACAGTGCTGGACCACATAGGTCAGCCTTTGCTTCTGGGGGTAGCTGGGAAGACATCTCAAAATGCTGAAGCTACTGCTCTTGCCAGTCACACAATGCATGGCCTTTAAACTGACCCAACAACAGAGGGACGGCAAGTATAGGTTTTGGAATGAGTTGAGCTACATGCAGGTGGCAACTCTTCTGTTAGTGTCTCTGAACTCAGTTCTCATCTGGGAAATGAGCACACATTTGCCCCTGGATGTCTGTGAGTGTACCTGTGTGTCTCTTCTCTCCCTTCATGAGTGTCCTGAGGTCAGCTGACCTTCGGGACACCTCTTGGCCTGATTTTGAGCTTTGCAGTTTACCCTGGGCACATTGCACCCCTCACGTGCACAGCACAACAGTTCTCGAGAGTCCCCTTTGACCTCTCACTGTTTGCCAGAGCCGGCAGACAGCAGCTTACTGAGCATGCAGGGTGTTTCTTCCCCAGGTCCTTACTCAGCCAGAGGACTAGGGTTAGGCAGCATCCTGCCTGCTTCTATCAGTCCAGCAGCCTCTGATCAGGTACAGCAGGTGCCTCCTAGGCGAGAAAGGCTCCCACTGTACTGATGTGGGTGGGCCCGGGAAGCCCTGCCATTACCCAAAGACAGGACTGTCTCCCGTCTTTGTGGAAAGACCAGGCTGCAGGTGGCAGTGTAAAGCAAAAGAGGGGGTGAGTGGCACTGTGGGGTGGTGGTATCTTGTGTATACAGTGGATACACCTCTTCTTATTTGTGATTCCTCCTCCAGCACCCCCTTTTTTATTTTTTTGAGACATGATCTCCCTATGTAGTTTAGACAAGCTTTGAACTCACTATATATCCTCAAAGCAGGCGATCCTCCTGCCTCAGCTTCCATAGGCCTGTTGTCTTCATACCTGGTATCTATTTCATTTTCCAAGAGGAATTTCATTCTGCTCCCACTGATTTAAACTCTGAGCTATAATAGGGAAAGTAAAGTGACCTGACTAGGCAGGTTCTGTACGTTGCAAGGAGGTCACCCCGTCCTCATTTGCTCCAATCTTCAGCAATATTTCTCCAGAGGCGGCACGGGCAAGGAGAGAGGTTCTTGGGGATCTTCTGTGGCGGGGCGGCAGCCAGAGTTTGCCCGGAGCGACCCAGGACCTTATCCCGCTGCGGTCTGACTTTGGTAAGATGCCGCCACCCTTTCGACCCCAGTTCCGCCGAAATCCCCTCAGAATCACCCGTTAAGGCGCTGGATAGGACCACTCCGCCACAGCGCGGGGACGATCGAGGCGCTGGTTTCCTCCCGCAAGTTGCTGAGGGAGCGGGGCCTCGAGCCACACCTGTCCGTTCCTCCCGGAGGCCCCTCGGCGCGGAGCCCTGTGTCCGCCGCCGCTTTGATCCCGGGGGCCCCGCTGGATAAAAGTCCCGAGCGGCTCCGCGCCAGCGCCAGAGGGGGAGCGAGCCGCTCCGGGCGCGCCAGGGGGGACCCAGCGCGGGAGACACGGAGAAGCCCGGCCGCGGGGCCGCGCGCGCCCCGGCCGCGGTGAGCGCCGGGTTCGGGGAGGATCGTGGCGCGGGAACGCAGGTCGGAGACGGCTTGTCCAGCGCGGCGCCGGGCCTGGGCAGCGGCGGGGGGACGCGGGGTTCCAGGTGCGCGCTCCCGTCCTGCGTTTCTGCCCCGGCCCGTCGGGCGGCGTGAAAAGGCCTCTCCGCTCTCTGTCCTCCGCCGCTCCCAGGGCTGGGGCCGCGGCGCCGGGCTGGCCGCTGGGATCCGAGCTGCTGGGCTGCGCTGCCCCCCACGGAGCCGGCCGGGAGCGCCTCCGGCGGCCGCGACGGGAGAGTCCAGGCCCCTCCGTCAGGCCTGCGGTTTGGGAAGAAAGGGCGATGCCTCCGCCAAGAGGAGCTCCAACGCGGCCCCCTCCCCCTCACCGAGCCCAGGCGGCGGCACATCTAACGCGCGGGCACCCGGGCCGCCGCGGCCCCCCGAGAGCTACGCCCAGCCCGGCTCCGCCGCTCATTGGCGCAAGCTGGCGCCAGCGCACCCAGATCCCGCGCGGCCGGAGCTGTGGAGCCGACGGTGCCTGGCCCGCCCGAGAGCCTCGACGCCGAGAGCCCAAGCCGCCCCGGCCAGGCCCGGCGCGCGGGAGGAGGGGGGCCGGAAAGCAGCGTCCAGGCCCCCCGTGCCCCCAGCCTCTGCCTAAAGGCCACTGCTCTTCGCAGGTGGCCACCGGCTGGAGTGGCGCAGCCATGGGCCGAGGGGTGCGCATGCTTCTCCTGCTGGGCCTCCTGCACTGGGCTGGGGGCGGCGAGGGCAGGAAGACCTGGCGGCGCAGAGGTCAGCAACCGGTCCCGCCGCCGCCACCCCCACTGCCCCCGCAGCGGACCGAGGCTGCACCGGGCACTGGGCAGCCGGTGGAGAGCTTCCCGTTGGACTTCACGGCCGTAGAGGGCAATATGGACAGCTTCATGGCGCAGGTTAAGAGCCTGGCACAGTCCCTGTACCCCTGCTCAGCACAGCAGCTCAACGAGGACCTGCGCCTCCACCTCCTACTCAATACGTCGGTGACCTGCAACGACGGCAGCCCGGCCGGGTAAGGCGCACCCTCCGGGACCCCGCAGGACCGCCGCTTCGTCGCCCGTCTCAGTCCCCCTGCGCGCGTGTACACAGGGACTCTGCACTGGACTCTCCGTGTTGTCCGGGGCAGTGCTCGCTCTCGGCGAAAGGTTCCCGTCGGGCACCCGGCGAAGCTGGCCCTGGGAGGGCCTGGCTGGGGACTCCCCGCGCGCGGAATCGGGGTGGGGGAGCGCTTGAAGGCCCCGTCCCAGACCAGCGCCAGCACTGATCACCGTGCACAGCCCCTCTGCCCACGTTCTTCGTGAGTGGCCCAGGCTCCAAAGGAAGAGGGGACACGGGGAGTGGGGGTAGAGCCCTGCTGCTCCCTAGCACCACCACCCAAGCTTGACTCTCGACAGTCAGGAATCCCATCGCGGGACAGAGGGGCAAGGAGGGGGCGCAGGTGGGCTGAAGGTCCCTGGTGCGGCATTCATTCTCACATCCTAACCCAAGAGAAGGCCGGGGGTTGGAAGGGATCGTGGGCACCCACGCCCTCAGTGGGTCATCTTCAGACCTGGCCTGGGGGGGGTAAGGCTGTGACCCCGCCTCAGTGGCGCCCGCGCCCCCATGTCGCCTGGCGCTTCTCGCTGCCCCCGTCCACACACAGGCTTACAGGGCAGGCACGCCTCTCCAAGTGCCACTGGGCGCTCTGGGGCGCCCCCTCCCCGCCCTCCGCGGACGCCGGGGTCACAGCGGGTCCCCGCCGGGCAGGCCGTGGGGATTTTCCACGGAGCACACGGCCCTCGTGCCCCTTCCCCGTCGCGCGAGCGCCACCTCCCGGGACTGCTCGAAACGCTCTGTGTGGGCCTGGCCTCTGGTGCCCCCTTGTGGCCGTCGCTCAATCCAGGCGACAGGTGGATTGACCCTTTCCTCTGGTGGAGGGGTGAAGGCAGTCGGGAGCCGGGTGTAGTCGCGGCCTTCAAAGCCTCGGCTGACCACCTGCTTCACGCGCCCGTCCCTGCAGCTACTACCTAAAGGAGTCCAAGGGTAGCCGGCGGTGGCTACTCTTTCTGGAAGGTGCGTGCCAGGAGCTGAGGGTTGGGGTGGGCGGAGATGGGGGGGGTGTCCCTGGGCCCGCAGATCTATTGGGGCGGCTATACCTGCAGGCGGCTGGTACTGCTTCAGTCGGGAGAACTGTGACTCCAGATACGACACCATGCGGCGCCTCATGAGCTCCAAAGACTGGCCCCAGACTCGCACAGGTGAGCGTTTCAGGACCTACAGCCAGAGCTGACCATGGGACAAGATTAGGCAGTCTGTCACAGTGAGGTCCTCAAGAAGGATGGGGAGGCCTCACCCCCACCAAGTGTACCTTACCCAAACCAGTGCTGAATAAGGGCAGAAGATGCTAACCCTCTGCTTAGCACCCTAAAATTACTTTTAATGTGCTGACACTGTTCATCTCTCCAGGGTCAAAGCAGTTGGTACAGGGTAGGACATCAAAGGTATCACATCTAATGTCACAACCTGGCTAGTGATGGTGGCCATGGTGACTTTCTGTCATAACTAAACTCATCCATTCCCCCTTCCCTGGCAACCTTAGCTCAGTCCTCCAGCACCACCCACCTCCTTCATGAGGCCAAGTAGGACCCTCTATTCCCTCATACCTTCCTGTAGTCCCCATCCCTGCACAGCTCCCTCCCACCAGAAGAAAGACCCACCTACCTCTGTGTCCCCAGGCACAGGGATCCTGTCCTCTCAGCCAGAGGAGAACCCCTACTGGTGGAATGCCAACATGGTGTAAGAGAAAGGGAGCGGGTCCTTGGGGGTGGTGTTTTTCCCAGGGGGTACTCCCTCCTGAGAGTTCTTTGGGGGAAATGGTCCTCTTTGGGGATCCTATTCTGAAGTCGGTGTGGTCCTTCATGGTCGGGTCTTATCACTGAGGGAGGTCTTTCCTGGAGAGTGGGTGGGATCTTTTGGGGGAGCTATCCTTGGGAGGTCTTTCTTGGAGGCTGGATACAGCTCTTTCTGGGTTATCTTTCCTGGAGGTTGGATGCAATGGGGGAGGGCTCCTGTCCTGGGGTGTCTTTCCTGGAGGTTGGAAGTTGTCCTTCCTGGGAGGTGGTCCCTCTGTCCCAGGGTCCTGCCTGGAGCCTCTGGGCAGCAGAGGGCCACAACAAGCTCACACATTCTGGCGTTGCAGCTTCATTCCCTATTGCTCCAGTGACGTTTGGAGTGGGGCTTCCTCCAAGTCTGAGACGAGTGAGTCCCTGGCTCCCCCATGGGAGAGCAGGATGATGGGGTTTTAGGGAGATTCAGACTTTCAACCTTGTGCCTTCCTCAGGGTTACCACCATGTCTGTGGCTTGTCTGGCCCCTGCAGTAGCCCCACTCCTGACTGGTCCTGCCTGGGGGGCTGCCTCTAGCAGGGCCTGCAGCACTTGACCCACCTCCCTCCAACCTACCCAGCCCCCAACCCATCCCCAGGAAGACCCATTTCACCTGCCAGCCTAGGGTAAGGAGTCCTCTCTGCCCAGGCCCCACCTGAAGCCTCGTTCTCCACGCAGATGAGTATGCATTCATGGGTGCCCTCATCATCCGAGAGGTGGTGCAGGAGCTCCTGGGCAGAGGACTGAGCGGGGCCAAGGTGCTGCTGCTGGCCGGTAGCAGGTGGGCAAGGGGTGTTAGGGGAGGGGAGGAAGGGGGAGCCCTTAGTGCAAACTGACCAGGAATGTGGGTAGGAGTCGAGGAGAGAGCAGACCCTGCAGACCCAGGAGTCCAGTGCTCTGGCCTCACAGAAGCCTGCTGGCTTAGGCTTTGGCACACCTTGGTGGTCAGTGGGTAGGTGGGCAGAAGCTGGAGCCAGAGAACATGCATTTTTAGAGATGTCATGGAGGTTTGGCCTCAGAGTGCTCTATCACTGGGAATTCCAGAGAAACTTCTGGACCCCATGGCTATTAGGCTGCAGGGACCGACCGGGGTAGTAGATAAGGGGTCAACAGTAGACTAACATCCTTCTCCAAGCCCTGAGTCCTTATAGGCCAGGGTCACACCTGTTGGTCAGTCACTATCCCAGTAGGCCTACAGGGCACAAAGAGGATCTTCATTTTCAGATAAGGAAACTGAGGCAGAGAGAGGGAAAGGAGAGAAGAGAGAGCTCAGACCTTTGCATGGAAGAGAAGCCTTGTGCCATCCATAGCTCTGGACCAGTGCCTGGAGCTCACCAGCCTTCTCTGCCTCCAGGCCTCCAAGAGGCTTATGAGCTTTGTATATGAGTGGGAAATGCATCTACAGTTCTGAATGCATTGATCAGAGGCATCAGGACCCCTGCTCCTTCTCAGGGCCTGAGCTGGGGTTTGAACAGGATCAGGGTGAGTGGTGAGCACCCTCCCAGCCACCTGGCTCAGGTATGGCCTTCCATACAGCGCTGGGGGCACTGGGGTGCTGCTGAATGTGGACCGTGTAGCTGAGCAGCTGGAAGAACTGGGCTACCCCGCCATCCAGGTGCGGGGCTTGGCTGACTCAGGCTGGTTCCTGGACAATAAGCAGTACCGCCGCACAGACTGCGTCGACACTGTCACGTGTGCACCCACAGAGGCCATCCGCCGAGGCATCAGGTGTGACTCCAGGACCCTCCTATGCAGAGGACCTGAGTGGTGTCCCTAGGGAAGGAGCTCCAGTCTAACCTGAAGCTCTGGCTCCAGGTATTGGAACGGGATGGTCCCAGAGCGCTGTCGGAGCCAGTTCAAGGAGGGCGAGGAGTGGAACTGCTTCTTAGGCTACAAAGTCTACCCGACTCTGCGCTGTGAGTGGCTGACTCTGTGGGGCACCTGGGCAGCAGTGGGCTATCCAGGCTCACTGCACCTTTCCTGAAAATCCACCCTTAGAAGAGGGCTAGAAACTGCTGCCCTGGCCCAGAGAAGAGGCCACATGTACACCAGTATGCCCTCTTTGCATCCATCTATCCTGGTTTTAGCCCTGAAACCCTTAGTCCTGGACAAATCAAAACAGTTGGTCACCCTGTCTATACTTACGGATAGGCTTTGGAGCTGAATCCCTGTGCTGGCTGTGCTGTGGAGCCTCTGGCCTCCAAGCCCCACACTCTGAAGTTTAATGAGACCCCTTCAAGGGAATGGCATCACCAAACTTTAGCCAGGCCAAGGTGGTAGGTGGTTATCAAGAGTCCTTCAGCCAGATGCAGTGGCACACACCTATAATCCCAGCATTCAGGGAAGCTGAGGAAAGTTTGAGCCTAGCCTAGGCAATTTAGCAACTTAATGAGACCCTGTCTCAGAATAGAGAGAGCGAGCGAGAGCTGGACATTTAGCTCAGTGCAAAGGCACTATGTTCAATCCTTAATACCACAGGCAAACAAAAAAGGGTCCTTCTTCAAGAAAGGTGTATTTTATTTTATTTTTTGAGACAGGGTTTTACTATGTAGTTTAGGGTGGCCTTGTACTCACTACGTAGTCCTGGCTGGCTCAAACTCTTGTCAATCCTCCTGCCTCAGCCTCTCCAGTGCTAGGATTACAGGTGTTCGGAATCATGCCTGGCAAAAAATATATTGTACAGAAGGTAAGAGGGGTTGGAAAATAGTTCAGTGGTAGAGTGCTTGCCTGGCTTGAGTGAGGCCCCACGTTCAGTTCCCAGTATCCCTCCCCCCACCCACACAAGCAGAAGGGCGTGCACACACGGGGTGATGGGAGCCCTGCGGAGCCTGGCTGGCCTGTGAGCCTTCCTTGGAGCTGGTAGGGACTCTACGTCACGGCAGGCAAGCTGACTCTTGTCCCCCCCAGGCCCAGTGTTCGTGGTACAGTGGCTGTTTGACGAGGCCCAGCTGACTGTGGACAACGTGCACCTCACAGGACAGCCAGTCCAGGAGGGGCAGTGGCTATACATCCAGAACTTGGGCCACGAGCTGCGCAGCACACTCAAGGATGTGCCGTGAGTGTTGTAGGGACCCTACTCCAGGTGGCTAATTCAGCCCTTCCAAATCTGCAATACTGTAAGTTGCTTGATTAACAAATAGAGGTCTCCACAGGCATGGTGGCATATGCCTGTAATCCCAGCCCTTGGGAGGCTGAGGCAGGCAGATCACTACAAGATCAAGCCCAATCTGGGCTACAAAGTGAGTTTAAGGCCAGCCTAAACTGCAGAGTGAGACCTTGTCCCAAAAAGACAAAAAAAAAAAGTCTCAAAAGTGGCAAAAGCTTTGTCTGTCCGGGATGACCTGCCACTGCCCAGCAGGGTCTAGCTGAACAAGGTGGACTCTGAGCAAGATTTGGAGGCTCAAAGGGCAAAGGTTGCAGGGAATGTGTTGGCTGGTGGGGACCAGGCTCCAGGCAGGGAGCAGCTAGCTAGACACAGTGTCAGGAAGCCTGTGCTCACCAGGTCTGGGGTGCAGGCTGGAGCTTCCTGGCCTGCAGCACAGAGTGGAGTCCAGGGACTCAGGCTGTTCTCTTCCTCCCACCAGGGCCAGCTTTGCTCCAGCCTGCCTGTCCCACGAGATCATCATTCGGAGGTCAGTGACCCAGGCTCAGTGCAGCTTGTGTCCTCCGCACTAATTCCAGGTGCCCCATAGTCACCCCCAAACCTGCACTTGCCCTCCCACCAGCCCCTCCTGGGTCCACCTAAAGAGATTTCTTCTGGGGCGCCTAAAACCACTGAAGGTACAGCAATCTTCGTGGCCAGAATTAAAGCACAGCCCCAGTAACAGTCATGAAGCCCCTCCTCCATGCCCTCCCCCACATTTCTGTCTGCAGCCACTGGACAGATGTCCAGGTGAAGGGGACCTCGCTGCCTCGAGCACTGCACTGCTGGGACAGAAGCCTCCATGACAACCATAAGGCCAGCAAAACTCCCCTGAAGGGCTGCCCCATCCACCTGGTGGACAGCTGCCCCTGGCCCCACTGTAATCCCTCATGCCCCACCATTCGGGACCAGTTCACTGGGCAGGAGATGAACGTGGCCCAGTTCCTCATGCACATGGGCTTTGATGTGCAGACGGTGGCCCAGCAGCAGGGACTGGAGCCCAGCAAGTTGCTGGGGATGCTAAGCAGCGGGAGCTAGGGAGGATTCTGGAGGAGGAACCAGCCCTGGCTGGACAGGTACCTGTTGCCTCAGTGTCCGTTCTGGCCCTCCCAGGCTCCCAGCCACCCCCAGCAGCCTCCCTCTTCCTCCCCTGCAGCCTTCAGGAGACCCAGCCAGAGAGGGTACCCACCCTTAGCCCACCCTTAGCCCTGGCTACAGCCTGGGACCCTGCCCAGTCACCCATCCCCCAGCCTGCCATGAGAGGAAAACCAGGAGCAAAGCACTGGGTTCCCAGCCCAGCAGTTCAGACAGTGCCTGCCTGCCCCAGCCTGCATGCCCTTTTGTATTATTTTATAAAGTAACTTTTTTTTATTACTTTAACTTTTTTAAAAAAGAAAATAAGGAAGAAATATATGATGAATGATACTGTTTTGTAACTTTTTTTAAATAATGAAAGAAGACAACAAAAGAAGCTCACCCTGGATCTGTTTATTTGAGGGCTGTTCTGCTGACTTTGTACCTCCCCATAGGGCAGCAGGGGACTCCACTCTGACTCCTGCTGTAGGTTTGGAGGGCCCCCACCCCACCTCAAGACCCTATGCATGTGCTCAATGAATACCCATTTCCCAGGGCAGCAGTTCACGGTTGCTTTTTGTTTTCTTATTGAAATGGAAGGAAAAGAAAAAAATAAAAAAAATAAAATAAAAATAAAAAAAAATAAAAAAAAATTTAAAAAAAAGGAAGGGCCAGGGATTTAGTTCAGAGGTGTACCACCTGCCTGGCAAGCATGAGGTCCTGAGTTCGATTCCCAGTATGCCAAAACAACAACAACAACTACAAAAATATAGAAATGAAATGAAATCTGGTTTTAAAAAAATACGGTGAGCGGCACAGCACCTGCCTGGCAAGTGCAAGATCATGAGTTCGATTTCCTGTACAGGAAGAAAAAAAAAAGAAAGACAAAAAAAAAATATGGTGAGCCACTTCACAGTGGATAACTCTGTGATGTTGAGAATATCAACAACCTTGTAGTTTCAAAACTCTCTTCACTACAGGAATACACTCCCCACCATTGGGTTCTTGCTGTATCCTGGAAAGGAATGGCAGCGAGAATAAGGAAAAATAGACAAGAGACAAAAAGCTGGGATCAGGTGGAGGTCCTTTCTCTCCTGAGCAGAGAAGGGAAACTGCCCAAGAACAGTAGAGCATTTATTTTTACCCTCCAGAGGTTGATTAATTTCAGCCTTGCTGCCCAGCAATCAGTTAACAAGCTACAACTGTTTGTTTATGTGCTTGGAGGAGCTCCCTGGCTTTGTCCTGCACAGGTAATTAGTTTCCAGCTTCAACCGATCCCAACACCAAGGTATCATTTTCCTCAATTTGCGTGTATTTATTTTTACTAGGTCGTTCATATATATATATAGTTTAAAATTGGAAAGATGTAGCTTGGTGTGGTGACACATACTGGGAATACCAGCACTCTGGAGCCTGAAGCAGGAGGATGTCAAGTTTGAGCCTAGCCTGGACAACTTGATGACATAGTGAGAGCCTGTCTCAAAGTATATTTTTTTAAAAAATGGGATGGTACAAACATGAGAGTATGAAGGCCCTCTTCCCAACCAGCTGCACTGCCAAGAGTAAACATATGTTGGATTCTCATGAGCAGTTCCAGATATTACACATACATCCTAGTAATCATGCACATGTTCACATACCTGTCTAATGCTGTCTTGGGGCATATACAGGAGAGCTGCCATTGAAACAGGCTTTCATCAGATGCTTTGGGATGGCCTTGTGTCGACATCATTTTGCATGTGGGCCGGCTTGTAGGTAAGATTAACCTCAGGTGGGGTTGCTGGGGCAAAGGCCAGGGCCATGCCCACACTGACCTTGGGCATGGTGGGTACAACCTTCTTAGCAAAGCAGTCTGTTACAGATCCAGGTGCTAATTTCTCCTGGTATCTCCATGTGGTGGATTTTGTGTAATCTCCACTTTATAGGTGAAGAGATTGAGGCTCAGAGAGGCCCTATGCCAGTCAGCCTGATATCAGCTTGAGCTCCACACCGTGCTTCCAGCCATAGACATTATCAGGGAGCTGGCAACTCCATTCCTGGAGTGGGGAGAAACCCGTGGGGAGACTTCATGCCCTCCCTTCCGAGCACAAGGGGTGCATGGCCTAGGGTCTGATTGTGCTAAAGATTCAGGCACCCTGAGCCTGAGAAGGCTGAGCAGGAGCTGAGTTCTGGTGGCATCAGAGTGCCCAGACCACATGCCACCTGTGGGGGACCCTCATCACCAATGCCCATTTGGCCCATCATCATCCCCTGTGGGCCACTCCTGTACAGCCTCCTGCACATATTCCTGGAGTCCCCTCAGCCAAAGGAAATGGCAGGGTCAGGGACATGATGACTGCAGGCTAGAGAAGAAAAAAGGGAGATAGGGTTAGGGAGCTATTGGCCTGAGGGGGCAGCCTGGTCCTCTGGCCTCCAGAGTCAGACCTGGGAGGGGCTCAGACAGTACTCCCCACAAGGAATAGCTCAGATGGGAGAGGGGACAGGAAGAGCCGGGGTGTCCTGGCCCTGCTCAGCCTTCTCAGTGCTCAGCCTTTTCAGTGCTGGGGAGACTGTTGGAGAGGGGCCTGCTGGGCTGCAGTGGAGGTGGCCAGCCCAAGAGAGGTGCTGCCAGGAGGCCAGTTCCTCTTTCCCCATAGGAAGGTCTTGAGCTATGACTCAGGCACAATTAGAGGGGTGCAATGCACTGTCTGAAGGGTCCAACCATCTCCAGGGGTGGCATTTTGTGTCCAGATGCACAGGCTTATTGAACATGACACTTGTGTGTGAGGCCCTTTGGGATTCTCCAGATGAATAGAGTCTTTCTTCCTTCCTTGGTGGTGAACCAGGAAAAAGGCATGGTTCACTCTGGGCCTGGTAGAGGGTTGGTACTGTGACTTCCTTCTGGGACCAGGAAAAAAATGATCCCCAGGGTACAACAAGGACAGAGGAGGGAGGTACCCTGGGCTGCCAGTCTCTGACTGTCACATCTGGTGAATCCATGATGTGGCATGATGTGGCACAAGGACCTCTCCCCACAGACTTCTCAACTTTTCTTTTCTTTTTTTTTTTTTTTTTTTTTTTGGTACTGGGAATTGAACTCAGGACCTTGTGTTTGCCAGGCAGGTACTTGTGCCACTGAGCTATATCCCCAGCTTAACTTTTCTGGAAATGTTAGTCACTTCCTTCTTCTACATCCTGTATGGTCCTTATAGACACAGCAATGCTCCAGACATCTACCCAAAACTTGTCCTTTCTACAAGCGACAGTCAAAGCCAGGATAACCTTTGTTGTCTGGGGACCTGAAACATGGAGCTTGAACTCTGTGTCAACACTGAGTACACATTTCAACTCTGCAGTAAACAACAGTGGATAGGAAACATCTGGTGATGCTGCCAATTGACACAGCCTGCCCTTGGCTGAGTGTCCTGCAGGCCCTATGGAGCGGGCTCCTGCCTCCCTGCCTTCGCCCCCACACCCACCCCTCTGCCGACCAAGGCTCTCAGACAGCGGCTCCCTCTAACGCTCACCTCAGCTCCCACCTGGAAGCACTCCTTACACCCATCTCAGGGCTCACCTTTCGGTGCGGCCCATGTGACATCCACAAAAGCCGCCCCCCACTTAGTTACTTTCTTGTCTTTGAGGGACAATACATAACACCTACAAGTTAAAAGAGGAAAAGTTTATTTTGCATCCCTGTTTGTAGAGGTTTCAGTCCATAGTCAGCTGGCTCCAAGGCAGGACGGCATGGCAGAGAGGCCTGGCAGGGAAGTGGCTCATGATATGGCAGACAGGAAGCAGAGAGTGATTAAGGGAAGAGGAAGGAGAGAGACCTGGCAAGTCTGTTCCCCAGTGATCCAGCTCCTCCCACCATGCTTCACCTCCCAACATCACAGTTAGCTATGAATATTACACCCATGTGATCCACCCACCTCCCCAAAGCCCCACCTGTGAGCCCACAAGGCTTTGGGGGGACAACTAGATAAAAACCATAGCACTTCATTCCTCTCTTAGATCCCACTTCCTGTAACTGTATAGTGTACAGTACTTCATGGTTTTATAGTTTGCGGTCTGATGGGACAGGCTTGTCATTATTATTGTGGTATTGGCTATTAAATCTAGAGCCTTCAATGGGCGTGGTGGCACACACCTATAATCCCAGCACTTAGGAGGCTGAGGCAGGAGGATCACTGTGAGTTCAAAACCAGCCTGGGCTACAAAGTGAGCTCAAGGCCAGTCTGAACTGTACAGCGAGACCCTGTCCAAAAAGACAAAGAAGGGGCTGGGGATTTAGCTCAGCGGCAAAAGCGCCTGCCTGGCATGCGCAAGGTCGTGAGTTCAGTTCCTGGTACCGGAGAAAAACCAGAAAAAAAAAAATAAATAAATAGAACCTTCACATTGAGATATATCTCCAGGCCCACCTTTTTTTTCTTTGATACAGGATCTAGTTAAGTTGTCCAGGCTGGGCTTGAACTTGTAATCTTCCTGCCTCAGCCTCCCAAATTGCTAGAAGTACAGGTGTGCGCTATCATACCTATAAGACAAAGATCTTTGTCTCTTTTATCCATTGCTGTGTCTCAGTGCCTGAATGGAGGCAGGGCCCTCTATAACCACTGGAAAAAGACTTGTGTAGTGGAAATGTTAATCAGAAGTACTAGCCGGGCGTGGTGGCTCATACCTGTAATCCCAGCACTTGGGAGGCTGAGGCAGGAGGATCATGGTGAGTTGGAGGCCAGCTTAGGCTACAAAATGAGCTCAAGGCCAGCCTGAACTGCATAGTGAAACCCTACCTCAAAAATAAAAATAAAAATAAAAATAAAAATAAAAATAAAAAAAGTACTAGAAGAAAATAATACATGGCTGGAAACATTGGAGAAGGGAAAGGGGAAGAAAATGCAAAGTGTTTTATAAGACTTGCCACTTGTATCATATCCAGTGTTAGTGACCATTGCAGGCTCTCTAAGAGCCCACCAAGAGTTGCCTGTTTGGACTAAGCATAATGGTGCATATCTGTAACCCCAACACAAAGGAGGCTGAGATAGGAGGGTCACAAATTCAAAGCCAAACTGGACAACGCTATCAGCAATATCACTGGCAGAAAACACACAAGTTGGGCCTGGGGCAGCACACCTTCCCCTGTGGGATGAGGGGTCTTGGGGGTGACAGAAAAAGCCTCCAGGAGCCAAGATGGAACACAAGGAGCAGTAGGACAGCAGTGCCACTCTGCACTGTCTACAAGTTGATACTGTTGGGGCCAAGGATACAGCTCAGTGGCACAGGGCCTGCCTGGCAAGCGTGAGGTCCTGAGTTCAGATTCCTGGTACCAAAAAGCAAACAAACAAGTCATTACTGTTATAAATAACTGAGTAAACCAATGCTGTGGCACACACCTATAATTCCAGCACTCTGGGAGGCCGAGCAAGAGGCTTGGATCCCCCGTCTGAGCCCAGCCCAGGCAGCCTGGCAACCTCGAGAGAACTTGTTTCTAAATTTAAAAAATAAAAAAGCTGGGGCCAGGCTTGGTGGCACATGCCTGTAATCCCAGCACTCGGGAGGCTGAGGCCAGAGGATCACTGTGAGTTCAAGGCCAGCCTGGGCTACAAAGTGAGTTCAAAGCCATCCTGAACTGCATAGTGAGACCCTG